AATTATTCAGTTGAAACAGCCGTGCAGACATGCAAAAGTAACAGATTCTGGTATAAAAGATTTTAAAAGCCCAGATACATCTCCATCTGTTAGTCACAGAGAGAAAATGGTTGCTATGCTCCCCTCCATCCTTTGGTAGAAAAGCATGTCTTCTGGTCTCTTAGGAGATGGTCTAACACTGAAATGAGAAGATAATTGGACCATTTTTCTGTGGCATTCACGTGAAGAAATTTAGACATGTTCATGCTGAAATTATTGGTCTAAGAATGGTATTTCCAATTTATGAAAATCCATCTCTTTTTTTGAGAGGTTTTTGCTACAGGGTGCATGCACACGCCAGAAAGACAGAGAGAGAAAGAGAGACAGAAAGTGAGAAATCACCCCCTAGGTGGGATGGCCATGCCACAATCCCTTCTCCTCCATTCTCCTCAGGATCTTGGGCACACACGCACACGCGCCTGACGTGAGTTTAAGCCACCGGGTCCAGGACTCGAACCGCAATCAACTACATGGGAGTCCAGCGACATAGCCATTACATTAACTGCTGGTCCCATGAAAATCCATCTTTATTCACCAATTGGATGAGTATTGTTGAGTTACTATATGCTAGATTCTGAGGTTATATTGTTGAACTAGAATATGATCCCTGTCCTCAAGAGCTCAAGGGGGTGAAAAAGACAGACATTAAACAAACAAACACTATTTTGATTTGTAATTCAAGAGAAGTATAAGCTCGAATGGGGCCGGTGAGAATTTCAGAATTTAGCTGGTCCAGGGATCAGAAAAGATTTTGCTATGGAAGGACTATTTAACCTAAGAGCTGAAGAGGCAGTTGAAGTTTCCTTCATTTAATTTTTAAATTTCCACTGGAAGCTTAGAGTTAAGAAAATCTTTGCATGCAGGTGTGCAGCTAAATGTTAATACAGACAGGAGGAATGACTTCTTTAAAACATTCAGTAATGAACTAAGGCTAAGAAAGAGAAAAATAACTGGAGGTGACATGCATTGCACTAGTATTTGTCAGAGGACTTGAAGCTTTAGTTATAAAACAGAAAATCGGGTTTGGATATTTTCCTAGTTGAGAAAGTTAATATGTTTCTCCATTCTTACACTTCAACACTCTGTATCACTGGCTAGTTATAAGGCTTAAAATAGAAAGGATCAGTTCTTTCAATTCTGTTCTGTACAATAACTATTTTTCCATGAGCATCATGAAGGCTTTTTCTGATACTCTTAGTCACATGAAAAGCTTTTATAATATACATATTTTTATAGTGTATCTGCAAAGCAATTATATTTACTAATAAAATATTCACATATTGGCCAATTTTTTTTAGAGGTTTTTGCTATAGGGTGCGTGCTCTCTCCAGAAAGACAGAGAGAGACAAAAAGAAAGTGAGAAATCACCCCCCAGGGGAGGTGGCCACGCCACAATCCCTTCTCTTCCATTCTCCTCTCAGGATCTTGGGCACGCACGTACACGCACCCAGCGTGAGTTTAAGCCACCAGATCTGGGACTCAAACCGCAGTCGACTACATGGGAGTCCAGCGACATAGTCATTACGCTAACTGCTGGTCCCTATCGGCCAATATTTTTAAAATAAGAATTTTCTTTTATTTTTAAAAAGAGAGAGGGTAAGAGAGAGAGACAGAGAGAGGTATTTTTGACAAGTTCTTGCTGTAATCATTCCTGTTTCAATTAGCTAGGATTTCAGTCTCATGCAAACACATGCAAAAGTAACTGAGTCTGGTATAAAGGATTTTATACCCAAAGTGTTTCGATTGGCCAATGAACCAAACCCAGGCCTTCCAGGCTCCCAGAGGTGTTACCATGGTTGGGCCAGAATTTACTTTTTTTTTTTTTTTTTTGCCATAGGGCTTACATGCTCTCCAGAGAGAGACAGAGACAGAGAGAAGGAAAGTGAGTAATCACCCTTGAGGGGAAATAGCCATACCACAGTTTTGTTTCCTCCAGTCTCCTCTTGGAATTTTGGGCACACATGCACACAGGCCTGGCCTGTTGTTCAAGCTGCAGAGTTCAGGACTCAAACAGCAGAGTCAGCCATGTGGGACCCAGCACCTCAATCACCATACCATCTGCTGGTCCCCAAAATTTACGTCTTATCTAAGAGTTTGCGCCAGAATCTAAGACTTTGTAGCAGATATTTCAAAAGTTCAGAAAAACAGCTATTACTCATTATATCCACTAGATATATTCCAGCAGTGTGTGTGCTTGTGTGTACTTTAATGTGTGTATCCATGAGTACACACAACAGTGCGCATACGTATTATTGGAGAGAGGTCTTATATCAACGACTACCACATATTTTTTCTTACCATTGCATTCTACCAGGGTAATAAAAATGTCGAGCTATGGATGCAAATAAATTCTAGAAATAAAGTAGAAATACATAGTTGTTGCAGAAATCCCAACTATACACTCTTGGGACAAATGGTTTAGCTGTTTACCACTGGGCAAATAAGGTCTGCCTTACCTCTGATCTGTTTGCAGATGCTGTTCCCTTAGCCCCAAACCATCTCCCTCCCGCCACCACTATTATTCATGCTCTCAGTGGGCCAAGGCTCAGCTGAGACATAGAATCAGCTGAGTGCCTTAAATACAGGTTTTCTGCCTCACCTTCAGAAATTCTATATAGAGAGTGGCCGTTGCAGGAGAGGGACTTTCAGAGAATATGAATTTCTGTCCCCTTCCTAGTTCATTCCAAATCATGGGCAAGTCAGAAACCACCACAAACACCCTCTTTAAAGGCCACTTGTAAAAGCCTCCCCTAATCCTCTCCCCTCTCTCTCTTCCTCGAGGCATCATATTCTTGTGTTCCTTAACCTGCCCTCAGCACTCAGCACACACCATGTGCCACCCTGCCTCTCCTCCTCCTTCCCCTTATAAACCCCTCCATAGCAGGGGCCCATCATGGTACTCCTACTCCCTGCACAAGACTCAGACTCTTTCAATCACTTGTACATGGTCATTGACTTGATCAATAAATGAACAAGGGCTGTCCTGTAGCCCATTGGTTAAGGGAGTGAGGTCTCATATGGCATTTTGAATCCCTCCTGTCGGCTTGGAAAACATGCTGGGTATGTGCATGTGCAGACTTCAAATCTTGATAGGATGGAGAAATGTAGAAGAGATCGCAGAGGGCCGACAGGTGACATGGTGGTTAAGGGTGCTGGACTTACACATGGCTGACTGCAGTTCAAGACCAGACCTGGAGTCTTGCTTCCTCACTCTCTCGCTCTCTTTTTGGTTAAATTAAAAATAAATAAATAAATAAAAGCAAAGTTAAATAGAATGATTTATTGTTTAAAAAAAAAGAGATTACGATGTGACCACACTCCATAGGAGATGATTTCCCACACCACTATACCACCTGGTGAGAGCACACACCCTTTGACCATTTTTTTTTTAAATGAACACATCAGGAGAAATATGTCAATTATTATTATTATTTTTTTAAATAAAAAGGTAAAGGTGGAGGTTGGCTCTGAGGTTAAGATGGTGCTAGACAGTGTCTGCTAGAACCCTCTTCCTCCTCCAGGGGCGGGCTCCTATCTTCAGAGCAGGCCCTTCCCAGCAGCCCTTCTAGGAACTCTGACATTAACTCCAAGATGTGTTTTCTTCCTTTGCCCTGGAGTGATTAAATTATTAAACTTCAGCCAAACTGAACATTTAATTGCACAAAATTGCAGATTCTGAAAGGTACCAAATTTGAATGAAAGGGAAACACGTGTAATTTGGTATAGAATTCAGAGTAAGTGTTAATAGAGTTCTACTAATACATTTATCTCCTGGTTAATAAATTTATCTCCTGGTTTCCACAAACACCATAATAAACTCACCATTTTCTGAGAATGAACTGTTCAATTAGACGTGTCTGGACAATTACGTATGCATTAGCAATCTTCTGAAATCCTCACACAGCCATAGGAGGGCAAAGTGGTTGCATGAAGGGAGAAGAAAGAAAGCAGGCAAAGCAATGAGCAATCAGAACACTCTCCAAGAACTGAATCGGGTTTGGTGGCCAGAGGGCAGCGCTGGGTAGCTTCAGCCCGACTGCTGTGAGGAGACTGAATAATCGCGAGGCAACACTGCCCTTTTGCAAAAACATGAAAAAAGCAGCCAGTGGACGCAAAATGAATGCCTGCCTCGCGATTCTTATTTACCACTGCAGAGTTTAAGCCTGGCTGCCTACGCGTCCTCAATACAAACAGGAAGGATTAGAGTGACCCCGCGTCCCAAAGACTGCCACAGGCCTGGAAAAGCTCTGGTTACCTTGCATCCTGAGCGGCCTGCCCCTTGATGACAAATGTCCCAGATTCGGGTGTTCTTTTGTAGTCCATGGGAAAGCACGCCTAATCCGTGCAAGCCCTCGCGCACGCATCTCTGCCCCATTCAGCACGCTCGCACAATGCGCTGGCTCAGCTCGTCGCCGCCTGGGGCCCAGGGCACCGCCGCTGGCTCCTCCCCCGGCCCGCCGGACCCGCGGGCTCCCACGGCCTCACCTCCACGTGCGCATGCCGCCTCGAGGTCCTCCAAGCAGAGAAGAAAGTGCTGGCTCCAGGGGTCTCTTTTCGCCACTGCCTCGCCAAGAAATCACAATCATTTCTCTTTAAAGAAAGAGAAGTACTAGCTGCACAGAGAAAAGAGAAACACAAGACGGATCAGGTTGGCCTTTTTCGTCCAGCTAGTTTCCGCTCACTTCTCCTCTGTCGCCTCCAGAATTGCCCCCACTCCTCTGCTCCCTTCTCCTTCGTCCTCAGGACTTTGCACGTGCCAGGTTCTAAGAGCCTCACAGGAAGTGACGGACTGAATCGTCCGAACAGCCTGTGATGTGAGGTAGGTACTTTCTAGAGTGAGGAACCTAGCCGCAGACCAGTGGAGGGGCACAAGTTGTAGAGCTGCAATCAGGCCTGCAGCGCACACGGCGTTCACCACCAAGATACTGCCACTGTCGCCAGCACAGAACTTCTTGGTGCCTTGTACTGAGAGTCACCCTGCTCTAAACACGTCTGTGTTTCCATCTCAACTGCCTCATTCAGAGGGAGCAAGGAGTTCACATGCCAGTCAAACGGAGCCGGGCCGGAAGAGACGAGCAGCAGGGTCTCCCAAGCGTTTCACCCGCAAAGCCCGGCCTGGGTGGAAGTTCTCTTGCTTCTATAAGGGAAAAGGTTAGTGAGAACCCCCACCTCTCTCAGCTCCTTTTCCCTAAAAGAGCCGAATAGTCTTACCTCTGGGAAGGGGATATAAAAGCGTGTACGGTCTGCCTCAGCCATTTATCAGAAGGATGAAACACCGGTAGTCAAAGGGGTTTATTATTTGGTCACACGTGACCTCCTGGTTGGTATTCTAGAAAAATGACTGAAGTATTATGCAGTGTTCCTGGGACTAAGTTAAGAATTCAGAAAATAACAAAGCAATAGACAAACTCCAGAAAGTTTAGGCAGACTTGTTAAAGTTTGGGGCACATTAGAAAGCTGCTATCTGTGCTGCAGAAGGGAAGGTTTAGATTCATTAGCAATGAAAGAACTATAATTAAAGAGCAAAGAATACCCATTTTACCTCTGGAAGGAATGAGGAGATAGTATGAGAGGTCTTAATAAATTCATGGAAAATGTGTATCATGAAAAAGCTAATATGGATTTTTTTTTTTTTACTTCTAGAGGATACATGTTTTGAAAGAGAGAGAAAGCACTCTCCAATGGGGTATGGTCATGCCACAATTCTTTCTTATTTTTTATTATTTATTTATTTATTTATTTATTTGGAGAGATTTTCGCTATAGGGCATGTGCGCTCGCCAGACAGACAGAGAGAGACAGAGACACAGAAAGCAAGAAATCACCCCCCAGGGGGGATGGTCACGCCGCAATCCCTTCTCCTCCATTCTCCTCTCTGGATCTTGGGCACACATGCACATGCTCCTGGCGTGAATTTTAAGCCACCAGGTCTAGGACGCAAACCGCGGTCGACTACATGGGAGTCCAATGACATAGCCATTACGCTAACTGCTGGTTCCAATTCTTTTTTATTTTTAATTACCAGAGGACATATGCACTTGCTAAAGAGAGAGATAGAGAGACTGAGAAAGCCCCCACCCTGTGGGATGTGGTCATGCTATCGTGTTGAGATTTGGTGCACACACAACTGCCCAGGGTGTTTTATAAGAGGCCAATGCAGAATTAGAACCACAGTTGTCCATGTGGGATCTGGTTCCCCCAACCCCTATGCTATAAGACCAGCGTGCTATCCTTTTTCCTCCATTTCTCCTTTCCTTCAGGACTTCGGGCATTCTTGCACACACATCCAGCATGGTTTTCAAGTCCCCAGGGCCAGGAATCAAAAGGGGAGGTTACCATGTAAGATCCAGCTTCCAATGTTGCACTGGATTTTAAAACATTTTACCACCAAAATAATGTGCCAGCTCACATATTGCTGGCAGGAGTGCAAATGGAACACGCTTACACGAGATCTGGAAATATTTACCAAAAGCCTTAAAATGAGGCACCAGTAGGTGGTGTAGTGGGTAAGACACTAAATTCCCATGTAGTCAACTGTGGTTCCAGTCCCAGACCTGGCAGCTTGAAATACACTGGGCGCGCGTGTGTGTGTGCCCAAGATCCTGAGAGGAGAATGGAGGAGAAGGGATTGTGGCGTGGTCATCCCCCCCGGCAGGTGATTTGTCACTTTCTGTCTCTGTGGTAAAAGCATGCACCCTATAGCAAAAATCTGTCTCTAAAAAAAAACAAACAAACAAAAAACCAAAACCTTAAAGTGCATATTTTTTGACCCAACAGTTCTACTTATGGAGTTTTACCCTAAGGTAATAACTTAAAATATGCCAAATTATTTGGAAAGAAAAGTCAATGTAATGTTGCTCATAATATCAAAAGAAATGGAAACAGATCTAAGTGTTCATCACTAAGACAGCGTAGATAAGCTATTGACTTCCATACAAAAGAAAACTTCACAGTACATTGGTAACAGAAAATAAGCAAAAATGAAAGAGTATGCATATTAATAACACAGTACTTCTTTTTTTTTTCTTCTTTTTTTAATTTACCAGAGAGTGTATGTGCTCATCTTGGGGGGTATGGGAGAGCAAGAAAGCACCCCCCATGGGTCATGTTCATGCTGCAATCCCTTCTCCATTTGTCCCTCCCCTCAGCATTTTGGGCATACACACTTATGTACCCAGCATGTTTTGAAGGCTGCTGGGTCCAGGACCCAAACCACGCAGTCAGGCATGTGGGATTAAGCTGCCCTAACCACCAGGTGATACAGGCTAGCCCCATAATGCCTTTTCTGAGGGAAAAAAAAAAATAGTACATAGAAATATGTCTGTAAGGGCATATAAAGTGTTTACTGTGTTTAACGCCCAATGGTTGTGAATAATTTTATTTTCTCCTGTTTTTATGTATTTTCTAAAGTATCATCAATGAATATGTATTACATGAGTGATAAAGGGAAAAAATATTTATTGTTTATTTTTTATTTTTTTGGAGAGTTTTTCTTTTTTTTTTTTTCCTGTAGGGTGCATGCGCTCACCTGAAAGGCAGAGAGAGACAGTGTATGTGCTCATCTTGGGGGGTATGGGAGAGCAAGAAAGCACCCCCCATGGGTCATGTTCATGCTGCAATCCCTTCTCCATTTGTCCCTCCCCTCAGCATTTTGGGCATACACACTTATGTACCCAGCATGTTTTGAAGGCTGCTGGGTCCAGGACCCAAACCACGCAGTCAGGCATGTGGGATTAAGCTGCCCTAACCACCAGGTGATACAGGCTAGCCCCATAATGCCTTTTCTGAGGGAAAAAAAAAAATAGTACATAGAAATATGTCTGTAAGGGCATATAAAGTGTTTACTGTGTTTAACGCCCAATGGTTGTGAATAATTTTATTTTCTCCTGTTTTTATGTATTTTCTAAAGTATCATCAATGAATATGTATTACATGAGTGATAAAGGGAAAAAATATTTATTGTTTATTTTTTATTTTTTTGGAGAGTTTTTCTTTTTTTTTTTTTCCTGTAGGGTGCATGCGCTCACCTGAAAGGCAGAGAGAGACAGAGAGACAAAAAGTGAGAAATCACCCCCCAGGGGGGATGGCCACACTACAATCCCTTCTCCTCCATTCTCCTCTCGGGATCTTAGGCACACACATACATGCACCTGGCATGAGTTTAAGCCACCAGGTCCAGGACTCGAACCACAGTTGACTATATGGGAATCCAGTGATATAGCCATTACACCCACTACTGGTCTCAAAAATGTTTACTTTTAAGGAAAAAATAAATTTCTCTCTTTCCCCCGCAATGATAAAATGAGAGAAGCCTCTGATTTAAAGGTGTGTCTGTCCTCAGCCAGGCGGGAAGACTCATTAGGCCTTGGGACTTTCATAGTAGAATGCTAATTCTGCCATGGGGCATTGGTGCCCAGCAGAAGCATGCCCTTCAGGAAACACCACAGAGTATACAGGTCTTGGGTTCTCTTCAGAGAATCTAACTGAACAATGTTGTTATCTGATGCTTGGCAAATGCTTCTCCAAGAGAAGTGGTATTCCAGAAAGACTATTGGGAGACTTGCTGACCTCCTGTTCCTATGGGAATGCTCTGTGCAGGGTTAGGGCATAGCAGTTAGATGATTAGCTCTGAGAGGCCAGCAGGTGGCATAGTGGTTAAGGTGCTGGACTCTTACATGGCTGACCACAGTTTGAGTCCTGGTCCTGGAGGCTTGAAACTCATGCCAGGCACATGTGCTTACATGCCCAAAATTCCAAGAGGAGAATGGAGAAGGGATTGCGGTGTGCCCATTCCCCTGGGGGGTGATTTCTCACTTTCTCTCTCTTTGTCTCTCTCTGTGTCTCTGGTGAGTTCATGGATTCCATAGGAAAAAAATTTCCCTCCAAGAAAAAGAAGGAGTAAATTATTAGCTCTAAACATAAACCTCATTAAATTCTCACAGAAATGCCTTCACTAATTTTTTTTCACAATCTCCGCTTGGCTGCTACCTAGGTTTAAAATGTAATGGTAGTGGGGCCCAGCAGTTAGCATAATGGCTATGTCGCTGGACTCCCATTAGTCGACTGCGGTTCGAGTTTTGGACCTGGTGGTTTAAACTCACGCTGGGCGCGTGTGCATGCGTGCCCAAGATCCCAAGAGGAGAATGGAGGAGAAGGGATTGCAGCATGGCCATCCCCTCTGGGGGGTGATTTCTCACTTTCTATCTCTCTGTCTCTCTCAGTCTTTCTGGTGATCTGGTGAGTGCACATGCCCTATAGCAAAAACCTCTCCAAAAAAAAAAAGAAATGTAATGGTCGTATGAGGAATAACTTTTCATTTTTTCTTTTCAAGTATACTTATTTATTTCTTCTGTGAGAGGGAGTACCCCCAATAAGAACTCTCCATGGCGATCAACCTGCAGTCCCAGCCAGCTCAGATCATGGGCATGTGTGGGTGTACTCGTTGTGTACAATGAGACCTCAGGGCATGAATTCGTGACCCACCTGTGTGGGTCCAGCATCTCAGAGTGTTGTATCATTGCTGCATTACTAATTGTCCCCATAAACTTTTTTGTAAATCCTTTTAATGTTGCTAAATATCTCTGGGTATTGACCCCACCACCACCCCTCTGATAAAACCTCTCCAGAGCAGTAGTGATTAAAGTGGGTTCCCAGGAACTCCTGGCAGGGCCAACCCCCTCTTCTGCTAGAGAACAACTTTTACTTATTCTACCATTGATGCCAAATGCATAGCAAGTTCACCCTCCACAAAATGAACTGCAGAAAAGAGGAATTCTGTTTTATTTAAGCTTTTAAAGAATTATTTATTTAACTTTATTTGTTTATTCATTCATTTATTTTTAATTTGACAGAGAGAGACACAGAGAGAGAGGGAAATCAAGACAGCAAGCTAACAGGTCCGAGACTCAAACCATGGTCGGCCATGTGGGAGTGTCCAGCACCTTAACCACCATGCCACCTGCTGGTCCTGTAGTTGAGCTTTTAAAAAGTCTCTTATATTATAAGGTTTTGAAGTAGTCAGTTTTTGCTTTTTCCAGAGGGTGTGTACACTCGCCAGAGAGACAGAGAGAAGAAGAGGGAGAAAGCACTCCCCAGTGAGGCATGGTCACACTACGATCCTTTCTCCATTTCTCCATTGTCTTGTGATTTGGGCCAGCATGCACCCAGCCTGTTTTTCAAGGCACCAGGTCCAGGATTTGAACCACATGGTTGGCCATGTGGAATCCAGCTCTCTTAACCACTAGACCACAGGCTGGCCCTCTTTCATGTTTCTCATTTGCTTCTTGTCTGTCTCCCCAACTAGAACATGAGTTCTGTGAAGGTGAGAATCTTGTCTGCCTCATTCACTGACCTCATCATAGATCAGTAACAATATATTGAATGAATGCTTGCTTAACCAACTGCTTAATGTGTGGTTCTTTTGAATATTAATTAAAATAATGCGAGTTGATCCCTCAGAGCCTTGCCACCCCATGAGGAGTATTCACACTGTTTCTCTGCACCAAGTCCTCCCTTTCTCATAACACCACTGTGGAGATGATCTAAGCTTGGTCTAACAGATACATGTTCCTGACGATACCAACACAAAGCTGAAATTCAGCAAGTCACAAGAAAATAAATGCAGGGCGTGTCTACCGCAGTAAATGGGGGCCAGAAAGAGGTTTTGGAGGGAGGTGGTCCTGCCTGGGTTTGAGTCCCCATTCCCTTCCTTCTCAGCATAAGTGTGTTGGCAATTTACTCATTGTCTTCAAGCCTCACTGTCCTTACCGTAGATGAGGTAACAATATCTACCTTACAAGTAGTGAAACCTGGGTGAGAAAACAGACAGAATACTTGACACACAGCAGACCCTTTCTATAGTATTATCCTCATTTGCTACGGTAGCAAGTCCTCTAAAAATGCAAGCACTTACAGTTGCAAGGAAACTTACAGAGCTCCTATTTTGTCTTATTTTATGGTATTTAATGTCAGACATAATGAAGATTTTTTTTTGATCCACACATTTTACAGAATAGGCTGTTGCAAATAAGAAGAATTTACCAAGTATTTCTTTATGCCATAAAATTATTTCTTTCTTGCCAGCATTGCATTTGAATGAATCCTTTCCCTGGCAATCATGCTGACAAGGATTCATATCTGTATTCAGCTTAGACTCCCACCGTTCTTTAGGGGCAATTTTCAAATCTTTCTACACAAGTCGACACACAGTTCCCATTGATAAATAGCAGTCTTGTGCTCTTACCTCCTGCACACTGTTTTGACAGATCACTACCCTGAAGAAGTTTTTGTGTTTAAGAGAAGCAATTTGTCTAAAGGAAGAGGGTATTTTCAAATCACACTTCTAAAAAAATGTCAAATAACAGGAATAAAAGAGGAAATGAGCTTTGGGGTTAAAGGATAGCCACTGAATAAAAGAAACCTCAGAAGAAGAAGATCAAGAGATAGCACAAAAAAGAAAGTAGGAATCTAAACATTTATTAGAAGTAGGAAATGAAAGGGTAACTGCATTCTTACCCAGTTTTGAGGGTATTAAATAACATGAAAATGTTAATGAAACAGGAAAAGTGATATTTCAAACAAGTGGTTTCACCCTTTGAAAAAAACCCCTTCTCTCTTTCTCTTTTTAGGATGTCAGACTAATGAGAAGCAATTGCTGGAGTTAATACACAGAAATAAATTCTTCATTGTAGGTGAGTTTCCATTAGTAATTTTAATAAAAATTATTACAACTTCAAATAAGTAGAGATCAGAGGTCAAGCTATAGTCTAAACCTGTACTATACCAAAATATGAATCACTAGGACATTCTGTTCAGTGATGTGCCAAGTAATTTGTTCTCCAAAGTATACATTGTAAGCCACAATTATTCTTACACAATTTTTACCAGCAATCTCCTTTTGTTTCTTGATAATACAATTTTGCTAAAGAGCCCAAAATGGCTGTTGACTTCAGAAGATAGTTTCTTACTGACCAAAGCCCTCAGTCATTTTATTAATTAAATGAAAACCTTCTTTCCCAATAACTTTTTTTCTTACCAGTCCTTCATAGTTTATGTGACTCTATCCTAAAGTCTCTCTTTCTTTAGACTGTATTTTTATTAACATAATCATTATATATATTATGGGATATGATGTCATTTTTTTCAGCACAAGAATATGCTGTGTAAAGATTAGATTAGTATACCCATCATCTCAAGTATTTGTCATTACTTTGTGTTGAGAACATTCTTCCTTTTTAGCTACTCTGAGATTTACAGTGCATTTTTGACCACATTCTTTCTACCACATTGTTTCCCCTTTTTAAAAAAAGTTTTTGCTGTAGGGCACATGCACTTGCCAGAAAGAGAGAGAGAGAGAGAATGAGGAATCACTTCCAAGGCGATGGCCACGCCTCAATCCCTTCTCCATTCTCCTTTCAGGATTTTGGGCATGCACACACATGTGCCTGGTGTGATTTCCAAGTTGCTGGGTCTGGGACTCTAATGGCAGAGTCTGCCACATGGGATGCAGCCACCTTAGCCACCATGCCATCAGCTTGCTCACTTAGCAGTCCTTATCTTGCTACTTTAACGAGGTCATTTTTATTCAATGTTCACATTCAAGAAAGAACGTGTGGTATTTCTTTCTGTGCCTGGCTTATTTCACTTAACATAAAATCTTCCAGGCTCCTGCTTTACCCACAAATGATAGAAATTCATCCTTTTTAATAGCTGATTGATATTTACATTTTCTCTGCCCATTTGCACTGCAATGTTAATTGCAGCAGTAGTCACAATAATCTCTTTTCTTTTTAGAATTATTTTTACTTTATTTTATTTATTATTACTGTTATTTTTAAATTTACTATAGGGCATGTACGCTCACCAGAGAGAGACAGAGAGAAAGAGAAAAGGAAAGAGAATGTGAGAAAGCAAGCTTCCAGGTGCAGGACTCGAACCATGGTCAGCCATGTGGGAGTCCAGCGCCTTAACCTCCATGCGACCTAATGGCCCCAATCTCTCTTTTTTTTAATCACTACCATTCTATCCTTCAGTGTTTGTTTGGCTCTATCATGAATACACCTCCCTATTTCACATACCTGTACTAAAGAATAAACGGTCTTTTCTATTAGAAACACCTTTACATGAGCAATATGCTACAACTTTTGTTCCAAGCAACCCATGTATGCAGATGTTTAAATCTTCATGCTTTAGTTTCATTTGTCCATATTAGGGCTTTTACTAACCAGGCTTCTTTGGTTCAGTGGATAGTTAAGGAAAAGAGGTTCATTTTAGTGAAGACTGCTGGGTGTCCAATAAGAATAATATACCTCTGCACGCTTCCAGGCTATTTAACACTCCAGTTACTTTGCCTTAAGCCAAGGCATGTATATAACTTCTAAACTGTTTAAGCAGAATTACTCAGATAAATTATGCATGACTTACTATTGCCATATAGATTGGAGAATTAAATAATATAGGAAAAAACAACCCTGTCAAACCATAAAGCAATAATTTGCACTAAAGTTTAGAATTTTTTAAAAAAGGAGTATTGAAAGATGCTAGCCTCAGGTGGAAGATTATCATATTAATTCCATCTTTAGGTGTGTTGTGGTTCTTATAAAGAAATAACACAAAGCACTAACATTTATTGGCTAAAGCTTATTTTAGCATACACAGTACAAAGCACATTGATTCTGTTAGCTATAGAACGATTTAGCTTGGACATAAGACACAAGTTCATAATAAGAAAGGCACAGCAAAGGCCAGCCCATGACCTGGTGGTTACATTAGCTAGATCTCACATGGCTGATTGCACACTTCAAGTCCCAGACTCGGAGGTTTGAAGAACACACAAGATGTGTGTACATGTGTGCCTAAAATCCCAAAGAGAGAGATGGAGGAAAAGGGGTTGCAGAAGGACCAACCTGGTGTGGGGTGTTTTCTCACTTTCCCTCTCTTTGTCTCTCTCTGGAGAGTCCCTGTACTTTCTAATAAGTTAAAAAATAAAAAATATATATAAGTCAGGGCATGATGACAGACACCACGGGAGCACGTGGGACAAGGGTAAGCACTGAATTCTTTAGGTGAAAGGTTGTGAGACTCACAAGCAGAGACATTTACAATCAGGAGAGGCACACTGGACTTCTGAATGTTAGAACCCTATTAACGAAGCCTGAGAGTGTAATCGATAGTTTTCTGAGGGCCCTCATAGCTCCAGATTCTGTGTCTGTGTATATGTACTGCTCAAATACTGTGCTATAATTTAAAATGGAATCAATCGTTCTGATGTAGTCTCTATGTGGGATTTAAAAAAAAAAAAAGAAACAGGTATCTGGAAATCTTATGTGATGCTCTGAACTCAGAAAGACATTAAAGACATTCACTCGTACAGTTTGCCACCTCTCTGTATCTTCATGTGCTCATTATTTAAAAGAAAAATTGTTCATAAAAGCTAACATATATTGTGTACTTTCATGTTCCACACATGATATACGTATTTTATGTATGCTTTCATCTGCTATAGGGTCCATTACAGGTAAGCAACCCGAGGCTGGAGCTGGACAATGGCCAGCAGTAAGAAGCCATACTTCGCAAGGCAATCCTGTGTGGAAGGGTTCATAGCTCAAGTCCAAAGACACCCCCTTCTCGAGTACTCTAGATGTGCATGTGCCCATGATCCAGGGCTGGCTGAAGCTAGTGGTGGATCATGGCATCAAGATCCCACTGGGGATGCTGCCTCTCTCTCTCTCTCTCATTTTCTCCTCCTCTCCTCTCTTGATTGACCAAGGAAGAAATAAATAAAATAAAGCCAAGATTTAAAAAAAAAAAAAAGAAAAAGAAAAAGAAGATCAAAGAAACCTGAGGCTCATAGGGAATAATTAATTTGCTTAAGGTCACTCAGCTTTCTAATATGGATCTGGGATTTGAGCCTCTGGTAAGACAGTCTTAGCTGCAAAAAGGGAAACTGAGGGGCTGTTTTGTTTTGTTTTGTTTTGTTTTGTTTTGTTTTGTTTGAAGAGGCTCTTGCCTTAGGGTGCATGTGCTTGCTGGAGAAAGAGACAGACACAATGAGAAGGAAGTGAGAACTCACCCCTCAGGGGGAATGGCCACGCTGCAATCCCTTCTCCTCTATTCTCCTCCTGGGATCTTGGACACGCACCCACATGCGCCAAGCATGATTTTCATGCCACTGGGTCCAGGACTAGAACTGCAGTCAGTCATGCAGGAATCCAGAGACGTAACCACTACGCCATCTGCTAGTTCCCTGACTAGCTGGTTTTAACAAAAAGACAAATTGTATTTTAAAATGTAATTTGTAAATTATTATATAAATAATAATGGAATGCCCAGGAAGGCAATAGAAACAGCCATGAGAAAATAGACAGGGACAAAGGGAAACTATACAGGCAGAACTACAGCCAAAATCATGTCGCTAAACCAGCCTGGCTGACTCCCCGGTGCAGTCACGTTCACACGAGCCACAGCAAAGTGCACTCAACACCAGCACTGGGCTCTGGACATTGATGTCAGGACCACATTCTTGGAGTCTCTGGAAAATGGGGTTTGCAGTTACCACTAGAAAGAACCTTTCACTCTACCCACTGTTTGGATCACCAGACCCTACTACAAGTTTGGGCAGATGACTAACCAGCTGAGTCTGCATCATACGTGTGGACCTCAGCTGCAGAGAAGGCTGAGAAATGAGTAGTGTGGCCCTTTCTGTTTTACAGTGAGAGGTGAGCTCTGAACTGCACCAACGGTTTATTTATTTCTTCCATGAGAGAGAGTGACAGACATGCCCACTAGGATCTTCATGTCACTGCCCATCCCCAGTCTCAACCAGTCTAGGTAATGGACACATGCATACCCAGTGTGATAAGGGAGGTCCCAAGATTGAACTCAGGACCTTTCCCATGTGGGTCCAGTTGCATTACTGCTGCTCCATTGCCTGGCACTCCTCCAAGATTATTATGATAAGAAATTGCACTCTAAGAGGGAGAAGACCATGTCCCTTTGTTTATCATGGTATTTTTAAGCACTTAGCATAATACCTGCCACTAAGATCTTCAACAGATATATATGAAATGAACAAATGAACATATGATTTAGTTGTCTCTGTGAAAGGAACAAGAAAACACTAGCAGGACCAGCAGTTAGCATAATGGCTGTGTTGCTGGACTCCCATATAGTTGACCGCGGTTTGCGTCCCAGACCTGGTGGCTTAAAACTCACGCCGGGTGAGTGTGCATGCGTGCCCAAGATCCCGAGAGGAGAATGGAGGAGAAGGGATTGCAGCGTGACCATCCTCCCTGGGGAGTGATTTCTCGCTTTCTGTCTCTCTGTCTCTCTCTATCTGGCTGGCGAGCACACGTGCCCTATAGCAAAAAACCTCTCCAAAAAAAAAAAAAAACACTAGCAATGACTAATCACACTATTGACATGGTCAGAGAAATCACACTCAAGTGAAAGTTCTAGGTAGTAGAGTAAAATGAATTACAAGGTAGTCCCTCTCCAGAACATGAGACTGAAACTGGCCTGACTGGGACTGGACTGCTTCCTTACCGCCTGGTTATGTCATCTTTCTTGGAGTTCTGGATCCCTACCACTTCCACCACAGCAAGAAGGCAACTCTAAAGAGCTCCAAAGCGTTGATCCTTTTGACTACAGCTGTTACCAGCAAAGTCAGAAATAACTCATTCGGAAGCATGAAAGAAGCAATGAGTTCCTGCTAGGAACTAAAGATTTTATAGGCACTATCTCATGTAATCATCAGAACTTCAAGTCTGTGGAGCTACTAGCTACTGTATGTAGCTCCATTTTACAGATGAGCAAAGTTAAGGCTTAGTGAGGATGACTTGCCCAAAGATATGTAACGAGAAATTGGCAGAATTAGACTTGGAATCAGTGCCTTATTGACTCCAAATGCACCCTCTACAGAACGCTATAGAGTACTAGACAAGAGTCTGTCAAAATCTTCTTGGAAAAATGGAATTAAAGTATGAGTTAATTTGAGTGCAAAACATTTTTGAAATCCATGCATAGTTTTTCACAATATGCATTTTCCTAAATTTTTTGAAAACCCCTAGTACACCAGAAACTTAAACTGTAAAAATAGGTCATTGTGGAAGGAATTTATGTTACAGAATTTACTAGCTTCACTGTCAACTTATTTCATTACTTCTTATTTCACATTTTTACAGGCAAAATCGGCCTATACTTGAGCTGGCTCCAGGGAGGGAAATGGAGGGCTGAGCCTGATGCTCTCCAAGGTTCTGAAAACCAATGTTTGAAATTTAAAATTTAACTGCCAGAGTAAAGGTAGCATCATTTTATATTGGCTCTTCAATTTTTACACCCAGGGCAAAGCCATCTGTGAGCGGATGAAAATGAAATAATTATGAAATTTAGGCAGTTCTTAAGAAACTAAGTTTTCAACACACCCACATCCATTCACTAAAATTAAGGGATATGAACTCTGAAAACAGACTTCCTTTATACATTCTTGGCTTTCCTCCACAGTTATGAAAGTCAATCCATGCCAGTAATGTCTAAAATCGCAATGGGAATTTTTGAGTGCCGCAGTTAATATATTCTCCTAGATATGCATCGTCAGTCCTGGAACGTTACTGAGGCCAGAGTAAGCATCTGGAATCCGGGTACCTGGTGGCATAGGCAAGAAACAGCCAGTGGGGTGAGGATTGGAATCAGAATTGGCAGCAAGAGAGGCTGGAATAAGAAAAAAAAAAGATTAAAAGGAAAGGATGGGAGTAAAGATCTGAAATAAGGAGAAGGAAAACTAAAAGCTTGAATGGGGCCAGTCAGAAAGGAGATGAGGCTGTGGCCAGTGGCAAGTCATGGCTTTCAATTCATGGGGAGAAAGGTATCATCTGCTGTCTCTTCATTCCTAATACCAACTGCAGTGAGGCTGTTTCTTTCCAAGTCTTTCTACATAGCTCCACGGGGGTTGACATTGGGCTGGACTGACATCTGCTGCTACTTCTTGCGGCATTCTGTGCTATTTGGAGATATTCTATTGATATCATCCTTCTTTGACCTTGCTTCACTCTTCCCCCTCCCAACTCTCCTTCCGCTGTCCTATTTGTAGCAACTGCTTTAGTCCACTAACAAGGGCTCTTTTATCTATTGGTCCTGCTCTTGCTTTTGTTTCTCTTGTCTATTTGGAGTTAGCGTCTTGATATAAAGCCAGCACGAGTTCTCTCTTGCCCTTGAGAAACTGTTGAACATAGCTGCCTTGCTAGAATGAGCAGGTAAAAGTATCAGCTAATTCTATATTTCATAGTAGGATGTTTAGCAGCCTTAAACTTTAGCTAAGCAAATAACCATTTTCTCTTGCAGAAATTGTCATCCTGCCCTTATCATCACAGTCCCAAGACACTGAATTGCAGAGACCACATGTGTTTAGAATAAATCAATAAGAAAGAACTGAGCTCCTGTCATATGGATTCTGGCTTAGGCTGTTTGGATCCTGCCATTGCAGCTGAAGACGGGTGGCTGCTTACAGAATACTAATTGCTACTACTGTTCTGAATGGATCTCTCTTGTGAAAGGAAAAAAATATGAGAGAAAAGCTCATTTGGGGTGGTCACTCAAAAATCATAAGCTGACTTGGGGAAAATTTTATGTGTCCTAATGTGTTAATGTGTGTGTATATATATATGTTATGTGTATGTGTGTGTGTGTGAATGTAAATGTACACACACACATACACACACACAGAATTTTTACACAGTTTCTTTGGGTTTCGACCAAGTCAGAAGTAGCACGACTCTGGCTGTCATTTAAGTTTTGTGTGCTGACTTTGTCTCAGCAATCTCTCAACAATATTTACTGAGGGCTCGTGTGTACATAGAACAGGAGAAGGCTGATCTTCTTGTTTGTTTGATTCTATTTAGACAGAACAAATTGACCTAAAAGTCTGTTTACCAGAGATTCACCATTGATCATGTATTCTTTGATGTACCTTCTTTTGAGTGGATTTAACATCAGATATTAATGAACTTGAAGGTAAGAGGGGAAGTAGTCATCCTTTTATCTGGATGGAGGTTTTAGTGGTTTGGTGGGAACGCTATGGATTTAGAGTAAGGGGACCTAGGATTACCTCCTGGTCCTACTACTCAAAGATATTGGAGCCTAAGGAAGCCACTAAACAACTTTTGAGCTCTAACTTACTGTCACTAAAATAAAGGTGAAAACCCTACCCTGACTGTATCACAGGATTATCGTAAGGATGAAGTGAGACCATAATGTGAATCAGCTTTGTAAACTGTAAAATACTCGACAACGGAAGGGATTAGTTAACTACGACAATTTAACACAATGGCTATGAAATGGTACAAGCTGTCAGGATTAAGGATCACAGTTCAGAGAATGTCCACTTGAAATTATTGTCAACCTATTTTCTCAAATACAGTTAATACTAGTATAATAAATTCAAAATATGCTTCCATTTTCTCCTGCTGAGATTTCATTCCTTTGGACGAATTGTTCAAAACTGAAAAAGTATTAGTAGGGGCAGGAAGTAATTTGGTTCAACAAGATCTTTTCGTTTAAGCACTATTCTTGATGATGCATATGCTGTAAAGAGGATCATTAAAACAATCTAGGATATATCTGAAAAAGCCTCACCAAAAAAAATGAGACGGTTCTGCATAGTTTCTGGTTAATTATCTCCTCCCAGGCACCAAACTCAAGATAGGACCATTCGGAGGACTTCTAGAGAGATGCCTTCACAATGAAGAGAGAGTGTTCTAATGTTCTAGCAGGCATTAAAGAGCATTCTGAGTGCAGTCTCTTCAGACACAAGCTCTCCACGCGAGGGAACTTTCCCTGTTTCTGGCTAAGGCTAAATGAATTTACCATGGAAGAACTGAGGAGAGGATTCAAGTGCTTGACCAAGGTTAGGGCTAGGTCAGTAGTTCCCATTTTAGAGTTGCCAGCCTTTCCCTCCAAGTTAAAAAAAAGATAACAAGTAAAATTATCACCATAATCTAATTTTTTAAAGAGGATTATCTTAACACTAAAAAGTGGGATAGCTGTAATCTCAGAATAAAAACAGATCTACAACTGTAATCATTTTGCTTACTGAAAATGAATTATATTGTCTTTAGGGTTCTCATTTTACTGCAAGGCATGAAAAGTTCCTCTGAAGCCAGACCAGCTGTCGGGCCAGTACTTGGTGTAGTGTAAAAGACCTTTCAACCCCGAGATACTTACTATAATCACATACACATACTCAAACAAAATTATTTATTACTCTTCCAGCACAAAAGAATACTTTACAGTTAGAGTATATAAGCAGCTATTTCTAAGGCTGCAGTTCATTTCAAATATTGAGAATTTAGAGTTTTTTATGAAAAGCGATTTGATGCTTTCACTATTTCATTCTTATTCCTCATCACACAATCAGTTCAGTTAAATAGCTAACAGAAAAATAGGAAAAGAAAATAAATTAGAAAAAAACCATTGTGGATTTTCTGTGTGGATAAAACTGCATGAGCTGCTCAGATATTGTAATAGAAGACATAGGACACTTTCCCCAGGTGTGAGGAAGTAGCAGGTTCGATTTCGCAGGATGTTGCACCAGGGAGTTTAGCTGCTCTTTGTCAAGGATTCATCTGCTGTTTTCTATCTGCATTAGCTGTGAGTTTCTCTGTATTCAAGTTCCATCTGAGAACCTGACTAAACTTAGCTCATTCCAGAGAGAACAGCTCCACCGGGAAGGTGTCACTGGATAAGGTCTCATGACCTAGGTGTCCAAGAAATATACACTCTGCAGTTCTGTTCATCATGAAAGAGAAAAAAATGCATGAAAACATTTTTTTTTCAGCCATCATCCGATATTCACTAGGCTAGACTGTTTATATGAAAGCTCAAAAATCAGGATAAATTATTTTTTTAATGCAACAAAAAATGTTATTAAAGCAAGTGATGTATTGCTTATAAATGGAATGAATAAGATTGTGGCTGTGCATTAACATTTTAAAATTTTATAAATGTGCTATACATAGCATTTTCATTTAGTGTTTCAGGCACTCTCTGCCCAGTAGAGTGGCTGAAATGCATAATCATTGTTTCTGTCTAAATCAGGTTTCCTTTTTTTAAAGCTCCTGGAGGGACTGAGTTGATTTCTTGTCCTTATTTTCCCCTGTAGCACAGCGTACCCTGAGCGTCAGCAAATGTAGGATAATGAGTTCAGGGAAAATTAACCCATAATACACTAATATTCGTGCATTCATTCATTCATGTACTCTACGAGAATTTGCTGGCTGTCTACCCATGCAACACACTGTGCTAAATTCTGGGATTACCAAGTGGAAAAAAAAAGATTTCACACTGTGATGGGATCTAAATTAGCTTCTATCAACCCAAAAGCAGTCAGGCTAGTGTTTCTCAAAGCCAAAACATTTTTACTCCAATCTTTCATCCCAATCCTGTACTTGTATACATACACATACACACCTACATGCACACACACATCTATGAGCATTCATGCATCCAATACTCAACTGAAACAAATTTTCACAAAGCAAACTTACACTTTCTACCTGTGATACAATGTAATATTTTCTTTTTCTTTTCTTTTCTTTTCTTTTTTTTTTTTTACTTTTTTTTGGGGGGGAAGAGGTTTCTGTTATAGGGCTTGTGTGCTCGCCAGAAAGACAGAGAGAGACAGAGAGACAGAAATCACTCCACCAGGGGAATGGCCATGTTGCATGCACATGCGCCCGGCCTGAGTTTAAGCCACCAGGTCTGGGACTCGAATTGCAGTCAACTACATGGGAGTCCAGCAACATAGCCATTACACCATCTGCTGATCCCACAATGTAATATTTTCTATTTCACTCTTTTTTTTTTTTTTTTTTTTGAGAGAGAGCAATTTTTGCTCTAGGGTGCATGTGCTTGCTAGAGAGACAGAAAGCAAGAAATCAGCCATCTCCCCAGCGGGGATGGCCATGCTGCAATCCCTTTTCCTTCATTATCCTCTTGGGATTTGGGACACGCATGCACATGAGCCTGGTGTGAGTTTCAAGCCACCGGGTCCGGAATTCAGATCACAGTCAACCACGTGGGAGTCTAGTGCCTTAACCACTATGCAACCTGCTGGCTCCACACTCAATTTTTAAAAAGATGGACATGACCAACTAAACTGAGTTCACAGGCCCAGCCAAGGTGGTACAGCCTCTAGCATAGTAGACTGCAGTGCTAGAAGCCCACCTGGCTAAATGCCGGTTCGGATCCTTTTCAACCTGGAGATATGTGACGCATATATGTGGGCCCAAGATCTTGATAAGCTGGAGAGCTGGGGAAAGGAAATAATGACATGACAAGATCCTCTCTGGAGTGCTTCTTTCTGCACATACATGTTCTCTATCATTTAAAAAAAAAAAGATTATGTAATCCACTAATGGGTCATAATTTGCGATTAAAAAACAGGCCACGTAGCACAGCCTCATAGCACAGCAGTTTACTGCCATGCATAGGGAGCCAGTTCCCCCATGGCTGAACATAGTTCAAATCTCAGCCCCAGGGCCTTGAAAAACATATCAGGTGCATGTGCATACATGCCCCGAACCCTGATGGGATGGAGAAATGAAGGAAAAAGGATTGTGGCATGACCATGCCCCATTGGAGGGTGCTTTCTCTCTCTCTCCCTCTCTCTCTCTGGCAAGTGCACATGGACCTCCGGCAATAAAACCTAACACAAACAAACACAAAAAGCAGTGGTCTGGGAGACTTTGGTTGTATCTCAGTATGCAGCTAAAAGTATCCCAAAAATTGTCAGGAAGTATATTAGAATAAAAATGAAAGATAGTTCAAAGATAATGTCAGAGTATTTAGGTTGATTTACCTTAAGGAAGATACTGATCACCTGAAAATATGGGATATTCTTTGACAGGAAGTGGTCTTTACAAAAGGTACTAATTAAGGGTAGTAAATTAAAGTGGGGGGAAATATGGGGGGAAAAGTGAATAAATGGAAAACACTTGAATGACTCCTGTTCTACTTCCTGTCACCGTACTTGCACACATCATATTTCACAATCTGAAGAGAAGATGAAGGTGACACAAAAATGTGACATAGTGTGTTTTTAGACACACATCCAGATCTTACACAAAGCAGGAAAGAGAGAAAACTCTAAAAAGTAAATATACTGCTAATGAAATACCTTGAAGATGGATTGATTTATTCCTTCATAAGTGACTAAAATATGAGTGCTTTTACTGCATCACTTTTTTTTTTTTTCAGGGAAATACTGCCTGGTAATTTCATCTCCATCTCCATGGGTCGTCTATATCCACTTTCTCCCCAGTTTGCCTTTCTTTTCATTCTGCAGAGTGTCCTCAGGTGATCCTGGCGGCAGACTGTAGAGCAAACCCAGATTAACTGACTAATGA